ATATTCAAACGTGGGAATCATTCTGACTGTGCCTACTGCCGCAGGATCACCTTTCTGCTTGTGCTAGAAAAGGTATTCCCGCGAATCCTCCTCCTAAGATTGAAGAACGCAACTGATGATTCACTTCGATCAAATCAAACAGGGTTTCCTACTGGACTTTCATGCATGGATAACATCGCCGTACTAAACAAGATAATAAAAAGGAAGGAAATTCCAACTACCCTGGCTTGGCATGCAGCATTATTTGACTTCTGAACAGTTTTCCACTCGGTACACCATCAGTTCTTGCAGCGCATATTGCAACACTGTGGAGCACCGCAGAAAATCAGAGATTTGCTGAAAGGACCATATGAAGGTGCTGAAGGTGCCATCAGAGAAGAGTCGTTGTCGGACTGTTAACATTAACAGCGGAATGCACCAAACAGAGGCGCTTTCACTTTTATTATTCAGCATGGTACTGGATTGTGATGCGGACGAGGGTCGTCCCCAGCAGTAGCATGAGATTTACTATAAGATGATGACTCAGCCGAAGATACCCGGCAGTAGTCATAACAGATCTAGAGTATGCTGAGGACGTAGTGCTGAGCGACTCCGTCAATGGCTTAATGGCACTAAGTCGAGAAGAGTGAAAGGTGCCCTCGGCGGAAGGCTTAGAAGTTAATCCCCACCAACACGAAGATTTTGCGAACACCCGACTATCAACGAAGTCGAAATCTTCCAGCACCTCGGCTCTGAAAGGGAAAGAAGTTACGGAAGCTGCGATAAAGAAGTATAGAGGCGCTTACAGTTGACATCTGTGAACTTCGAGCGACTTTCTAAACTACTGCAAAAACAATCTCTCCGAAAACTAAGAAAAAGCACCATACTGAAAACCGCCGTTATCTCAATCCTAATGTACAGCTTCGAAAAATTAACCCTTTTAAAGTCTCCGTAAAATTTAGCTACCTGCCACTCATTGTACTGACGTCATCGAAAATTATACCGGCTCGGTCATCGCCCTGGCCCGGGTTATCAAGGGCCGCGGAGGCTGTTTGCGGACTGAGGCAGACTCCGAAAAATCGGCCTTCAGAGCCTGCTCATCGCCCTCTGTCAGGTCAGAACCGTAGCAGCACAAAGACGGCCGACGAAGACAGACGGAACGACGATAAAGGGACCAGTTGGCAACGGAGCCGCTACTCATTTCGAAGGGAGGAGGCAGACAGCGCCATGCCCTTATAGCACGTCAGAAAAGGCTCCACGAGAACGACACTACCAGTGGGAGTTAAAAGTAGGAAATTGGAACATATCCTCACTCAGAGGAAAAGAAAAAGAACTGATTGATGAGGCCATAAAGTACCAACTCGACATTGTTGGACCCTCGTCAACAAAACGCCCAGGCTCTGGACTCCTGAACCTCAATGAATGGGCTGTTCTACTCAGGCGTCGATATCACGACTCGCGCTCAGGCCGCTGTTGGCGTTCTGGTAGAACCCAACATTGCCAATAGAATAATCGATTGGAAGCCTGTCAGAAGAAGGGAAGTAATCCTTCGACTCAAGCCACAACAGGCTAAATCCATGACTTCGGTCTATGCGCCCAATTTGGAGGGAAAATATAGACCTTCCTTGAGGAAGTGCAATGTGTGCTCTGTACGAAGTGCCGAATACCGAGTCTCTCATACTGATAGTACTGAGGGCGATTTTAATGCGCACGTCGAAGACGCTGAAAAGTGGAACCGCGCTACTGGAAAAAATGGCCCTAGTGATCTCAAATATAACGTCATGAAGCTGTTGCGGTTTTGTGCAAACAACGGATTGTCCATTATGAACACCTTCTTCGAGCATCGAAAAGTGCATCGGTACACCTGGTACCGGGCAGCTTGTGCACGGAAGTCGATTATCGATTTCATAATGCATGTCTGCGTTAACAGAGGCGCAGAGCTATCAACCGATCATCAACTTCTTGTTGGCACGCTGCGCTGTAAAAAATGGAGTACCATACGAAGATCTGCTAGCAGAAGCAACCGGGGAATCAACTCGGAAACATTATCGTCGGTGGACACGAGAGCGAGATTTGCAAACAACATCGCACGACGGTTTTCACAGACCGCAGTGATGGCAACTGATGTGGAAACCGAGTGGCAACTCAATAACAGCGGTATACTCGAGGCCGACGCCGAATGCTGCGGATTTAAACGGGTTGGTCTGCTGCCTGAAGGTCAGAAAAGATCTTCATGGTGGATACGCGAGGTACAACTGACAGTAAAAGAGAAGACAGCGTTCAAAAAACTCGCGTGCGATATGTCGAGGCACGCAAAGCGGCAGCCACAGCAGTAGCAAAAGCCAAAGCTGATTCCTCGGAGAAATGCGGTGAGGTGTTGGTGTCGAATTTATACATGGCAAACAAAGGGTTCTGCCACACCATCCGCCGACTCCGAGGTGAAAAAAAGGGCGCTCTCAGAGTCTTAAAGGACATATCAAAGATGAACTCATTCTTCGACGATGGAGTGGAGTACTCTGAGAAGCTTCTTAACCCTGCGCAACCGAAGAAAGACCCGCCTGTAGAGCACAAGAGTAGGGATATTACTATCTCTGTAGATGAAACTGCAGAAGCTGTGAAAAGCTTGAAAAATGGAAAAGCTGCTGGAATTGACGAAATCCACCCTGAGATGCTCAAGGC